GCGAAATTGAGAGGAATTTTAAATCTGTTCAGTTTTTTTTGATACACCCTGTATAGTATAAGGTATTAATTATAGTATCGTTTAAATATATATTTTATACTCATGACTATTAAGTACTTGATAGTTTTTGGTTTACCATCCAAATATCTTTGAAATACCATCCAAATATTATGTTTTGCTCGCTACAGTACTCTGGTTTAAATAAATGATTACAAAGCCCAGTCGAATTGTAATCAAGACCCAACGTTACGACACTCCAGTCTAGTGTCTTCATCCAGGGGTGATCTAAAATTGCGATCTTGGCTTCTTAAATACCCAAGGGATGACGTCACCTGCCAATAAGATGCATATATTCCTCTGGCAAATAGGCACCGTCATCCCTATTCAAAGCATGATGACTCATATTTACATGCCACGCTTCTAGGCAAAGTCTTTGACCATAGCGATTATATGTGGGCATTACTTTAGAGTTTTCCCATGCAATCTCGTGTTTGGTGTGAGAAACGAGATTGCGTGGGAAAACTCTATTAGTTATTACCACAAATAATCGCTACGGTAAAAGACTTTGCCTAGAAGCGTGGCATATAAATATGAGTCATGATCATGCTTTGAATAGGGATGACGGTGCCTATTTGCAAGAGGAATATATGCATCTTATTGGCAGGTGACGTCAGTGGCGGCACCAGGGGGGGGTAAATGCCCATCCAAAATTTTTTTTTGCCCCCCCCCCATTTTGTACCCCTCAAAAAAAATTATTAGTCACTAAGAGCCGACTAAAGGCTACACAAGCGTTTTGTCGTTATCAGAAAATGTATGGCTTATAAGTTGTCATAATTACTCATTAGTGAATGCGCGTATACATGAAATTGTTTTTTACAGTTTCAATATTAGTTTGTAAATCTCAAAAAAAGACAAAAAAAGCTTTAGTTTTGCAGAGTTAAATTCTCAAACGTGTAAGGCACTAATAAGATGAAAGTATCACGAAATTATTAGAATAAACCACATCGCATATATGGGGGGTGAATGTCCTAAAGAGGGGCGATATTCCTAGGGTATTCGCCCCACCCCCCTGGGAGGCGATATTCCTAGGATATTCGTCCCCGGGGGCGATTTTAGGGGGGGCGAATCTCCTGGGGGGGCGACCTTTTTAAAAATTCTATCTTGCCCCCCCCAAATTTGAGTTTGCCCCTCAAATGCCCCCCCCCCCCAAATTTGGAGGCCTGGCGCCGCCACTGGGTGACGTCATCCCTTGGGTATTTAAGAAGCCAAGATCACAATTTTAGATCACCCCTGATGAAGACACTAGACTGGAGTGTCGAAAACGTTGGGTCTTGATTACAATTCGACTGGGCTTTGTAATCATTTATTTAAACCAGAGTAGCGAGCGAAACATATGATTGATATACCTGGTTGCAGTGAACGAACAAACTTTATACCATCCAAATATCTTTCAGACTTTCACTACAGTATGTCCATTATTCTGTCTAGACTGTCTTCAAAATAGAAAATTGAAGTTTGTTTCGTCCTTTATTACACGCCATAAAGATGAAATATTGTATACATAAGTTCATAATCTTGAAAGAATGCCTGGAGTTGCTAAATATCTTAGTACAAAGAGTGTGTGTCTGTATGCATATACATATATTAAAAGCTTTAAAAACATCTCATGATATATATTATATAAATTTTAATGTTATTAGTTGATCGCTTTAGGCTATATAAGTATATTATATAGCTACATATGTATTAAAAGCTTTAAAAACAGTATCTCATGATATATATTATATAAATTTTAATATTAATTCTTTTAGGCTATAAAAGCATATTATATAGCTTTTAATACGCATCAAAACATCCATTTTTGCAACAATTTGAACATAATTAAGGGATTGTAATCTTAGTTTCATGATCCGTAACCCTTTCTTACCAGTGGTACCATTCGACATTATTTCCAAGGGTACCACAACTGCCATGACCCTTGGTTCATGGATGGTAAACTTACTTTCACGATCCGTAATCATATCTTACCAGTGGTACCACTGGTACCATTCAACATTATTTTCAAGGGTACCCCAACTGCCATGACCCTTGGTTCACGGATGGTAAACTTACTTTCACAATCTGTAATCATATCTTACCAGTGGTACCACTGGTACCATTCGGGTTATTAAGCCGTGTAGCAAAGCGCCAGTTTGCCAGAGCGGCGGCAGTTTTGCCAGAGCGCCAGTTTGCCAGAGCGCCAGTTTTGCCAGAGCGCCAGTTTCGCCAGTTTACTAAAGTGCTAGTCAGTTTTGCCAGAGCGCCAGTTTGCCAGAGCGCCAGTTTTGCCAGAGCGCCAGTTTCGCCAGAGCGCCAGTTTACTAAAGTGCTAGTCAGTTTCGCCAGAGCGCCAGTTTGCCAGTTTTGCCAGAGCGCCAGTTTTGCCAGAGCGCCGCCAGTTTTGCCAGAGCGCCAGTTTTGCCAGAGCGCCAGTTTTGCCAGAGCGCCAGTTTTGCCAGAGTGCCAGTTTTGCCAGTGGCAAGTAAAGGAATTCGCTGCTTTTCTTTCAAACCATATCGTATACTGAACTTAACTAAACGTACTGCTTTGTTTCAGAGAATTAAAACAGAAATTACTTTGACGCAAAAGAAAATGCTGAAATATATTGAGATTTACGATTAAGTTAAAATTGCAATTCTACTACTAGAATATACATGCTCTTGCGTTCAATCTGGTTTGTTATGCGACCTTTGTCAGTTTGTCTTGCATATGAAAGATTTATTACTGTATATATGATCACACCATCTTACATAACAAGTTATTGTCTTTGTCTATTGCTCATATTTGTTGAGGAAATATTGTTATAATACTTTGATATTTCTAAACCAGAGAGTTGAAATTCAAAATACCTGCCCTGAAGCAGAACTGCGATAACAACGAGCCGGTAATGTGGCACTTGAAGTGTCACGCATTTAATCAAACATTATCAGTAACATAACAATAATGAAATATTTTGAATAGTTCAACTTCACGAAAATATATTCATTTAATTTTCAGTCATTTTGTGTAAAGCTATTAAGCATGTTAAATTAATATTTTAATGTGCTATATAGTATTATGCGCGTAACGACTATAACCGCGAATGTTTCGCGTTTGTATATTCACTCTTAATTAAATCCTTAATGTGGATGGACGGACCCGCACTTTAATGAAAGCTGACATTTATATACTTCCACATACATCTTGCCTTTGACCTTTGTAGTGTTTTAAAACATAAATCATATAACGGTCATATGCATTTATACATCCACTGGTAAAACTATATGCAACGTTCAAAATAATGTGACATGTAAAGATTTGTACGACCGC